TTCGACAGCGTTGTTGTGTTTCGTCAACCTAACGACTTATTCTAGATTTTATAGTCAGTGACCAGATCAAATACCACTGATGCAAGATGATCAGTTGCGATTGGCATATCTGCAATAAATCATTGATAGGAAAATCTATCAATTTCATATTGCGTGATTGTAAGCAATGAACCCTTTCTGCATCTTTGTAGCAACTGAGTGGTAAGCTATAAGTCCGAGACTCTCGCCAATGATGCTCTGCTGATGTAAACGATAGTTTTCCGTTATTTTCAGAATGAGTATCGCTATGAATGAAGTTGTATGTACCAAAGGGTTGACAGGAAAGAGCTGTCATAATAAGACTTGTTGGGCCTATTGCGAAGAGGAAGCTACATTCTCGAAGGGAAAAACTTTCAGCCAATTCCTCTCGAAGCGATGCCACAACAAGGACAGTAGTACAGGATCCAGCATTCCTAACAGTATTACTCATGGGATCGAGGCAAAAAAATGTGGTTCAGCCAGATTTTGTAAAAATGGTGTGCTGCTTCATTTCCATTGACTGAAGCAGATGGTTTGAAACGACTGCCAAATCTGTTCTGTGGGAATTAACTGCCTTTGTGTCTTTTTTACCTGAGAACCGTTTCATTTTTTACATCGTAGATCGTTTGTGCAGTCACACACATTAGCAGAGGCCTACTGACTATATGTATATGTCAACGCATCACGATAAATACCAATCAATATGCTATGACTTCCACTTCCTAGTTTTACACTGCTTTTGCCCTCTCTCACTTCTATATGCTGTTCCCACTATGTCTTCGTAGACTTTTTCACCTATCTTGTTGTACCAACTCCGATTCCTCAAGCGTAAAAGCACGTATAAAATAACATCGTTTGATAACATTGATTGAAATGCGCAGTTTTATGACAATGTTTCTTTCGTCGCTGGTATGCCCATTTACTCTCTGCATCAGGCGCCCTATCAAATTTTACGAAAATGTGAAAAGACGAAGGCGATTGATGATTCCCAAGATGCGTACTCGTGTTGTATAATTACTTGTACCATTTCAATTTCGGATTTTTAACTGTCAGTTTTTTGCGAACTCTTATCACAAAGTTTGCAAGAAAGACGATTTCGATTGGTAACAAAAAGTGACCTATAGCACTGGCTCCCTCAAAATATGTGTGCAAAGCTTGATTTAAATCATTTTGGAAATGAATAAAACGTACATCACAAACAAAGGAAACGAAACCGTATACGCAGAACTGTTCAGTTTTTTGACCAATCTACTCCGCAAGTATTCCATCTTGTTGTGTATTAGTTGGTAGTAAAATATCTCTTTTTCCTGTAAAAATGTTTTTTTGTTCTGCAAGTTACGTGCTGCTTGTGTCGAATTATTAGGTTGTAAAGAAAGTTCTCGGGCACTTTTGGAAACTTCATTTTCAAACGCATTTGTTTTTGGCGCTCGGTCAGACTTTGACACTTTTTTATACTTTTTAGTAGAGGGAAGTCTAAGGTATTCAATACGGCTTCTGATTTTCAATGCCAAGACGTGTTTGATCTGCACATCAAAAAGAAAAATCTTTTCAACAAAAGAATTTCACAATTTTTCTTCCTATGGCCATTTTATTGTGCAGTTCAAAGAATTTCGTTCAAATCACGGGCGATTAAATTGAGAAGCTTGTTAACTTCTGACCCGCAGCTGCACTCGAGTTTTGCGATTTGCGCTCAGAAATTACAAGCTGTCGAATTTGCCTCTGACTAAAACTTTTTTCGCAGCTGACGTCGCTTCTGCGGGGATCGCCACGCCTGGATGATGGGTCCAAAAGATGTGCAAGGTATTACCCCAACAATGTTCCCAGTATTCAAAGATTTGGGTCCAAGGAAAAATTTTTTTTCAGGTGGTCCTTCAAAACGTAAGTGGTGCCCATAACAGCGGTAGCAGACTTCTACATTACTACAGTATTTGAGCTCTACGCTTTCATCGTGCCTGAGATAATCCTGCACAAAAAGGTCATTTTTCGCGACGACCTTTTCTCTTCTGCGCATGCTGGTGGGCCGCAGTGAGGTGCTAAAAAGCCAGCAAGACAAGTTTGTGTTGTAGACAAAATTGTCTTTACAATGAAGTTTGTAGAAAAAAGAATCAATCTGCTTGAAGTTACAGCGACTTGAAAAAATTTTTCGCAAATGCCCGGGAACTTCCTCTACAAGCTAACATTATGTAGCAGACCAAATCGTAATAGCTAATGCAGCACAAAATTTTTATAGCAGAAGTGTGAGGATGATGTTTGCGATTCGTTATTCCAGTTCATATTATTACTTTTCTTTATTTATTTTTAATTCATTACCTGTTATTTTGTTTTCCTAAAGGTATGAATATGTTGTACATATATTGTTGCGCATTTTTGCGTTGGACCGCCGAAGGTGTGCACAGCTAACATGTGCTTGGAAAGTCCAAAATTGTTTTTCTTGGATCGAATGGATTGCTACATTTGATTTAAAACAGTCAATTACGACTAACTTGCATCTCAGTGACTACAAATGCATGAATTAGGTCCTAGCTGCGAGCTTACAATCATGTATAGTGCTAGTTTGAACATTCGTATGTTACTGCTATTAGGTGATGTAACAAGTTTTGTCCCATTTCTTTCGATTTACTGGTTGGTAAAGTATTTATGTATTTAAAAGCTGCAAGTCTGCTCCACCAAAATCTTCATTTCAGTTTCTAACATCAGTAGAGTTTGAAAAGTTTTTTAGCATCAAATTTGGAAAACAGAAGAGGAGAAAAAAACCATTTTCGACAACTAATTTGAGTCGCCCGTTTAGGTTAGAATGCCTACAAAACAAGCTCGAAAAGTCTGCTGAGCGTAAGGATAAAATGCTATAGTTTCTGCAGAGGTTCAAAAGTGATGAAACGTTTTAAAAAATTCTTCTTCAAATCCAAAAAACGTCTTCTTTCTAACGTCTTTTCAATGTTGAAGGACCAATGGTCAAGAACGAAGCCACCCGAAGGCCGTTCTGAGAAAGGACGGGAGACGGATAATCCAGAAAAAGCAGAAGGGATAATCTTTGGCTATAAAATCATCCAGTTCATAAGTTAATTACTCAAAATTTGATGTTTGGGGGCCAGACAGCCTAGGTAGGCGAGACGAAGAACATCGCTGCAGCAAATTCTTGCTTTTCCGACTTTTGAAACATGACATTAGAAAGTTGATAGAAGGAAGAAAACAAGCGCCAACAGTGACATAACAAACATAAGAGTCTAATCGGCCGTTTTGTTTGTTGTCAAGCTCGTTGAATGAAAATATCTTAAAACGGGGAAATTTGGAGAGAAGAAAGATGTCGAAAATAGATTATTTGTCTCTTCTCGGAATTCTTCATCTGACGTCAATAATCTTTTTCAGTATCCCGCTAAGTTGGGGGTTGACGCATACGAATTTGTAGAGCAGACTTAGAGCTTTGCAAAAGCATATACACTTTATTTTGAATAAGGTAAATATTATTGGAAAAAAAATTGGAAAAAGTTGGAGAGAACTTATTACACAACCTAAAATTACAGTACTTTATGCTAGTGCTATACTTCCTCACTCCTAGATGGAAGTTCTCCTTTTACATCTGCAGTGGATGAATTATATTTGATAGAAAAATCAATAAAACTGTTTACACATTTGAGGAGAAGACTGGATTTCATTACGAGTACCTAAAGCAACCCTCGAAATTCCTTTCGCCGAACACACAGTAGACGGAGAGCGAGCTTACATTCCAAGCACATCCAAAGGTCTCAATCCTCCAGCCGGTTATCTGTAATGAGTAGACTTTTCAGATTGTATGAACTAGAAAAAACTGGTGCATAAAGTCGCAGGATAAAGAAATTTTGTGAAAAGAGGCAAGCAAAAAATGCGGAATCTGCGCATATTTGTTGCCAAAAGTGCAGTGTGCAATACGCATACGCAAAATTTGGAAAACATAAACGGTGAGGCAGAAAACTTACGTTGGCAATAAGCATTCACACGAACACCATTCCACTTGATGTTTTAGAAAAGTAGGAAATTTTGGAAGAATTGAATTCTTGTTCGTAACAGTCTTACGTATCTCTAGTTTGCACAAGCATATATTTGCATTAAACAGTCACATGTACACTTGCTGTATTTTTTCAGTAGATATCAAGCCAGCCCAAAAGTTCTGTCGCACCATTCTCAATAGATCACAAATTCTATTTCTTCCGATTTACTCGCTTTTATCCGCTAGAATGATATCACGGCTCCTTGAAATCTTTTAGCGGCTTTTCAATGGCACCGCTAAGATGTCTTTGTAAAGAGCATGATTCGCACTTTTTCAGATAAAAATAAGAGCAGTCAAAGCGGTTTGAAAATCAGAAGTTTTGGATTCTTCGAAAATGGTGCGACAAAACTTCTGGGCCAACCCATGCTGTTAAGTAGATTTCGCAACTCCTTCCGTAACTTTTCGCATTTTGATCTTGCGGACTCTTCTACCATTATGTAGAATGGAGTCGGGTTACAGACCAGAGCAAAGCAGTTCCTTTTTAGTGACAAAATATAAAAAATCTAGGCGTTTTTCGAAGATTACTGAAATTTGAGGATTTATGAAGTTATGAGCAAAAATATAGCCGTTTGTAACCTAGATCCGCACAATGATCCGAAATTGAACATATACTTTTGTCAGAGGTTGTCTTATTTCACTCAACAAGAAAGAAATAGATTGAGAAAATCGAGATGTGGCGCCCTCGTGAAGTTGAACGAGTCCTGCACACAAAGCTGTTGAGTGGCAACCGTCAAGGATTAAGATACCGAAGTCTCTTGCCGAACTTTGGCGTAAGGGAGTCACTTAACCTGCTGGGCATAACAATAATATTCATTTGTTCGATTAACCCCTTTTTTCGTGTTCAGAGAGAAATTCATACGGTAAACCTACCTACTAGTTGTGCAAAAAAGGCCACAAGCACGAAAACACTACTTCTGAAATAATATAAACTCTCACCGGAAAAACACCTGCTGCTATTTCAGCGACCTTCGCCATTTGTGTCCTGTAAAGTACGATTATGAACAATGTTGACATTTTGATTCAGTTTTAAAACACACTCTGTATAATGCTCTCTAAGCTTAATCACGTAATGTTGATATCTTCCTGGAGTTGGCTTGTAACCTGTTGTGGCTACAAGCTTGGCAAGCTCTATCAGTATACAGACACTCTCCTGAAAAAAGAAATCATTTTGGAAGAGTGTTCAAAAACTATAAACTATTAATCTCGATGATTAGGTCCGATGTAGCAAACATCATAAGCACTTTTAGGCATCTGTTATGATTGCAGTACTAACCAGTTGCTGGTCATATTCGTCTTCGTACTTTTTTTTCCAATAGTACATAATCAATGCGTTCAGGCTCAAATTTATTCGATCATCTTGCTCATTGCATGAGGGGAACATCTCTCCATGACATAGCAGTTCCAACATCTGAAGTTATTTCTTTAACTTCTAGCACTTTTGACTTTGAAGGAACTTACGCTTATTATCATCAAGGACTTCATTTCCGAATGAAGTCACAATTGCTTTAGCCTATTTATATGTGTACAATCACAAATGGCATGCTCATGCCTGTCGTAAATCTGACCTTTAATATCGCACACATGCTGCATTCATGCTTTTCATGCAAATACACAAATTTCATTTTGTCGTCAATAATTCATTTGTGGTGGTAAAGAGCTTAAGTGCTACTCAGCGTGAATATTCTGCTGCAAAGTGCTCGTGAGGCTACTACTAATAACGCTATTTTATAAACATTACCAAACTTGACTTTAGAAAAAATGTGAATTATAAAAAACATGAAGAGAAGGGCTCACCTCGTTTTAAGTCACTTCACTCATCAAATATCTTTGGAAAACAGTAACGATCCCAAAATTTTTGTTTGAAAGTGGAGTGACGGGGAGGAAGTGCGGAAAAATTTTAGTGAAGGTGCGAGCGCAAGCCACGCACTCCAAAAAAAAATTCTTGGGAAGGCAAAAATTTTATTTACGCGCCCACAATCTTGAAGGCGGCAGCCATGCTACCGGAAGTATTTTGTTACAAGACTAGAAATCACAAAGAATTTTGATAGTTATGTCTAATATTTACAAGTAAAGACAAGTCACTTGTATTTATGACCCATTTAAGTAACTTTTAAAATCTCGATTTGGAAATCTCAACTTCCATAAAACCTTGGAGTTAAGACAAGCAAAGTAGTAGCCCAATGCAGAAATTCTTCCTCTTTTCAGCAGCTATGCTCACTATGCCACCTTTCCTTCCGACGGCGTTAAAATATTAGGTTGTCCCGAAAGTTTTGTCCGATTATTTCATCGCTTACTAAAACCGCAGAACACCAATCCATGAAAGAATTAGGTACCCTTTGGTTCAGATTTTTATCCTCTTTCTTACAGTTGTGTCTGCTCTCTGATCTACGCTGTCTTTTTGAGGTTATCGCCATGGCTTTTTTTGAGCAGCTTAGCAGTAACGCCAAATCTTTACTGAATTTCAAAAATCTTTATCCTGAAGTTTTCAAAGAGCGCTGGCAACTGTTACGTAGAGCAAAACTTTGGCTACATTGCACTCATTTTAGATTACATGGGCCATGCTTAACACAAACCCGTAATGATTATTTATTTAATAAAAACCTTTGCTTTTTAATCACGTTTACCGCGTAAAATTACCAAGAATTTTAAAAAGCTGCTTTTCCGAAACAAATCAAACTTGGTTATGTTGCATAAACAATGTCTAATAAGAATCACGTTTCAATTCGCAGAAACTTCAAAAGCTGTCGTGCATTTGCTTCAATAACGTATTTCATGATTTTGCCAAATATTGAGACCTCTGAAGAAATGATTTTTTGAAATTAAAAACAGCAGATCAGGAGATTCTGAAAATATTACCTTGCAGTCCGAGAGTTGCTCTATTTGATCCATACTCAAATCTTTCCGAAACTTCAAAATGAAATTATCAAAAATTAGTTTAACTTAGAGGAGATGAAATTGACCGGGGAAGAATTGGTAGTTATCAAAAGAAGCATACAAGATTTTGATTCGAAAATGTATCCTTAAGAACGTGAAGGAAAATATGCATCGAATTCTTGTTAGGAAAAATAACTCTTTCTCTTTCGAATACTGTTTGTCGAACTACTAATACACACTGACTGCAGAGATAAAATTAGAGAGGGCCATATAAGCTTTAGTCTTTTTAACTTTAATTGCAAAAAATCTGGAGAACCCTGCAGAAAAATCTAAAAACGACAGTACATGAGTTTTTACCTATTCTTCGCAATCGAAAAAAAAAGTTGTGATGTTTTAACGTTTTATAAAGAGGATATAATCTTCGAGAAAAATTCCAATATTTGTGGAGCTTCCTATAGCGAACTCGAAACTCATAACTTTCTACAAGACCTCCCTCCATATAGCACAAACTCTTCACAATGGGAAAGAGTAGGCAGTAAAACTTGTATACTGACGATTACAGATTCTTTCGCAAGATTCCAGATTTCTAGTGTCCTAACTTGAAATGATCAAAGCTTAAATAATCTTCTTCAACCATTTTTATCTCTGCAGCCAGTGTTCTGAAGAATCTCGCTGAGGTTATGATCGCGAAGTATAAGGTTTCCTTTTTCTAATAAAGTTATAGCAAGAGAATTCTGTCCAAAAAGTGAGAAGTTGCGCTTTTTTGAGGTTGGCGACAGCATTTTCGGACTGACCTAATAATTGCCAGATTTTTCACTATTCTTCGTTGCCCAAATTTGTGTGACTTTCTAAGTTTTGTCCTCGATTTTCGGACCGTCTTCGTGTTCTTCGTTATTAGACCGTACCGGTAAAGTAGAAAAATCTTTTGAAAAAAAATGACAAATAGCTTAAAAACGAGCGGAGTCATCATGAGTGAACTTGGTTAAGAGTGAACACTTTATAAGCGTTGCTTTCCCGCGCACACTATCGACTAAGCGATTGCAAATCATATCACAAATAAACAATCATTCACTATCACAACTCATATTTTCAATGAGACCTTTGCAGGAGCTTCAACAGCCAGCAGATGAGGCAAGCTTGCAAACCAGAGCCTTTTTGATCTCCAGCTTTCTTTCTGAAAACTGTTGAACAATTTCCGAATGTACGAAGTTTTGCAAAAATTTGCATGGCACATGACTGTTTCGAATGCTGCAAAATCACAGAATACTAAGGTTTCAAAACTCTTACTCTTACTAAGTCATTAAGTCGTTCTCTGCAGGCAAACGAGGGGGCATGGGTTCTTCTCCACTAAGCTTTAGGCCCCGGGCAGACTTCACGCGATTTGAAATGAACGGAAATCTTGGCGATTAGATCGCGACAATTAAGTCGCGTGAAGTCTGACCGGGGCCTTACATATCAGGTTTTTATCAAACTAATGACTTATTTCTGCTAGCTTATCCCGACACAATCTTTCTATAGAAGATGATTAGACTGACTTGGGATGACGTGATGTTATGCTTATTCGAGTTGTGGTTTATGCTTCACTAACATTCTTTGTTATGGAACGCCTAGAGCTTATTAAATAAATAAATAAGTTTGTCATATATAATTAGCCCTACAGAGTGAATAAGAACTCACCTCAAAGTATGGGGTATTTGGAATTCAACCTCTTGACGACAGCATGCATTTTCAGCTATCTGCCTTGTGGGACTGTCCCATCTACAGTAAGTTGATATTTTTAGCTGAAATCAAGCGGGCCGTCATCTGCAGTATCGCTACAGTGATTTTGAAGAGCAGCTAAGAAAAGCGGAAGTAATTTTTAGGAATAAAGCATAATAAAACTTCTAGAACCACAGTCGTTGCATTACCCACCATGTGTGTCACATTGTCGTCAATGTGTTAAAGATTAACAATGCGCAATCGAAAAATTGAGAAAAAGACGACTCTGTCTATAAAGCATGTATTGCGAATAAATGATATATGAGAAAAAGCAGGAAAGTTTGCTTCGGGTATTACCTGAACTGTTTGCCAACGAGGTTAAAATTAATAAAAAAATTCCGAGGAACAAGTCAGAAAATCAATCAAAATTGGAACAATATGTAAAAGAATTATTTTAGCTGGCTACCCCTAAATCGGGGGGGGGGACTTCATACGATCGGGGACTTCGCACCTAGCCTTCGCACCTACCTCACACCTACATCACACCTCTCCATCCGCGTAATGAGTAATATATAGTAAATATTGATATGATGGGTTGAAGTAAGATTCTCCACTACGCCTAGGTGAGTGGAGGGGGAGAGGAGGAGGTGGACTTTTCATACGAACGCTCGCCGATCACTTTGACCTTCTAGCGTATGCTAAGGTGCTGGTAATACGTCCAGTTATCGATTGCAATGGACTAAAATGAAACGTTTATTATCAAAAATGCGTAAACTAAAGAGTGTCTTGATTTTATCTGTTGTATAAAGCCTATCGGGTTGAAATAGCGTATCATAATAAAGATCGTCAGGCCACAGCGAATTCATTTTCGCAAACAACAGGCACAATTGTGGTAATGAGTAGTTCGCTTTATCGAGTCGCATGCCCTCCAATGGGTGTAGATATGTCAAGAGGCGCGATTCCTATTGCCAGATGGGCAGCATATAAGCATACAACATATAGCACATATTTAGTGTTTTATGAAGTTCTAGAATTACTTGAAATTTCGAAAAAAAATATATACTAGGGAATTTCGGGATTGCTCAATCTCATCATCTTGAAATCAATTTCAAACAAAATTGTTTTTATTTATTTATTTATTTGATACGCACAAGGCGTGCCCAATACACAGAACGAAGCATCACACTAAACAAATAGGAACAAAAAAAAAGAACAAAAACAGGCAAACACCCCACTGAATCAGCTCAAGTCCAGCCCGCAAAATATTTTCTAGGGATAGAAAGGGAGTGAGCTTGTCTAGACTAATATGAAGTCATCACATGTATAGAGGTTCGATGGAGTCTGTCTCATGCCCCCTGCTTTTAGCAAAAATGCTCTTATTCAAACATAAGCAAATGTATATGTTGGAAGCAGGTGTATTGGTAGTAATATTGGTAAAACCCGCCCAACCAAACTCTGGGGAGAGAGCAGAACTCCGGAAGAGGTTGCACAATGCAGAAGTTTCAAGCCCAAACAAGCTAACCCAAGCATCAATGGAAATGATGAGATGAGCCAGACCCAAACTAACGGGTGAGGTATAAAGTTGAAAAAAAAGCCAACACAACGAATGACAATGGTGTAAGCCAAGGTCCAATGATTTGATGGAATCTGATCCCTAAAATCCAACGCAAGACATTCATTTATTCGCATCCTTCGATCATAGTCAGCCCAGAGTGAACACCAAACTGAGACAGGCGGAGTCGCGTGCCATAGAATCGTCAAACGAAAAGGACAGAGACATGCACAGCACAAAAGCAAGGATCTAGAAAAAGGAATTTGAGAGATGAAAAATAAAGT